TGGCTGAGCCTCCTGTGACAGCCGACAGCTGTCTCCTCCCTGCCTCCTGAAAGTTTTTCTCCACACTGGACGCTGCACTGTGTCAGAGAGGACACAGAGCAGCACCCAGTGAGGAGAGAAACCAGGGATGCACCACAATTAAGGTCCAAAAATTTTTTATTTTTAACATTTTGCCCAAAGTGCCATTTTCAGCCAATATGTTTCAGTGACTCCCTAGTTCTAACCATTCCCTGCACTATCAAATACAAACAATTGTGCTAGAGTTGGGCTTTAATGAACACCATTCCTGTAAAGAAGTCTGATTCGCCAAGTGCATTCTGACTGGGTATTGGTAACCTGGGGCACTGGTTAACAAGACTCAATATTAAATAACAAGATTCACCAGCCAGGGTGCATTGTGGGCAAACCCGCTGTAAGTCTTCATACTGCTAGTTTCCAAAGTGTTAGTGAAAATACGCTCCAGTGATTGGGGCTGTATGTGTGTAAGCCATATTCCAAAGTACACCTGACTTTCCACAATAGTACACATGAAATGAAATGTGTATAAAAAACAGCTTTTCAGCAATTCTAGGCAACATGAACGCACTTTAGTAATCCTCTCCGGTAAAACCAGTGACTGTGCTAAAGTTAAAAAAAAACCACTTAGTTAACCTTATGTTGTATTATCCCCTGCAAAATAAGCACACAGAATAATAAGGAGCATACTTCCTTAGGTCTGTGTTGTTTAGCATCCCATCTCTCTACTTCCTGTATCACCAATCACATTCAAACTTCCAAGGCAGGTTTAAATTTGATTGGTGGCTGTGAGAAACTTTTAGTGTTGGACTTATTTATTTTTTCATACTGGGCTGTGTGTGATAGGCAGTCAGGGCCATCCCTAAAATGAGGCAGCCTGAAGCGGCTGCCTCAGACGGCTTCTCATTGGGCCACAGGGGGGTGTGCAGGTGTGCCTGCTGCCCCCTTTCCGGTCAGAGTGTCCCAGAGCTAAGAGCTCTTACCCATCTGTGATGCTCTGGCTGGCAGCCTGCCCAGCTCTTGGCAACCAGTGACATCAGGGAGCAGGGCAGGATGCCAGACAGAGTCAGACCCAGAAGTAGCACCAAGGACCCCCCTCCCCAAGTAATGTGCACCACTACAAACCTTCACCTCCCCCCACAATAACATGCACCACCATCACCCGACTTCCCCCACGGGCCTCCGGTAGCAAAATAGTGTAGGGAGACCCCTGTAGGTAGTAAGTAGGGTGTTTCAGGTACACTGCAAAAGTGAACTACTTATCCCTGTATACATCTCTAAGTGTTATTTTAGGGTGGTTGGTCCCTTTAAATCAGTAATAACACTTTGTCTATAACAATGCCATCATGTAACAAAAAGTTTATTCAATAATCAAACAGACCCTAGTTCTAGGAAGTAGGGATTATCTGGCCAATAATGACAACCCAATATCTTTGCAGGACAGACAGCATAAAAGATAGGATGAAAAGAGTTATGCGAGTTAAAGTTCCAAATATAAATCCCACGCTGTCTACGACAATAAACATCCAGTAGATTCCAACTTGCCAGACTGCCAAGCTATAGACAAGTTGCAAGTAGTAAACTTTTACTGGCAAGGTTATTCCTATTGAGTCCACGGAGTTTTCAGTTGGATGTCATGGCTTTTGGTCCCTTGTGTCTAGTAAAATACAATAGTTGTACATAACTTCTAAATGGATCGTAGGGCCATAAGGTCAGTATCTTCAATCAGATACTTGCGCATAAGGTTCTGCTGTTCCTCTAAGCCTTAAAGGAACAGCAGAACCTTGTGCAAGTATCTGTTGAAGAAAACCTTGTTCATAAAGTACACTTTTGTTGCTGAAATACTTTATAGCTATGTGTGTAAGAAGCCGACATCATCTAATCATATTATGCATTGAAAGCTTAATGTATTACTTACAACTCAAGGAGCTACATGATTGGATGGTGCTGGTTTACAGTATGTACAAGGGGTTTTATCATTTAAACAGCCTTTTAGGTAAAGTAAATTGAGAAATTACTTCAAAAGGTTTTTTATTAGGGATGCACCAATACTAGTATCGGTGCCGCAACGGAGTATTTAGCTGAGTACTCATACTCGCCCAAATGCTCCCGATGCCTATCCTGATACCGGAGCTTTGTGTAATGAGGTGGGGGGCCTAGTCATGACACAACACCTGACTTCCTTAATGGGACTTCTGGTATCGGTGAGTACCAAAGATACTCGAAAAACAGGTATTGGTGCATCTCTAGTTTTTATATATTTAGAAGTAGATATATAGTTAGGGTGCTTTCAGTCTTGCTTCAGGAGCAGTATATGACCCTGTGATCTGCACTCCCGAGAACTACATGCTACAAATTCCCCCATAGTGAGAGCTGGTCTCGCTTTCTGAAAAGCTCCCGCAGTTGTAATTGACAGCTGCTCTGTGCATTTGCTGGTATGGCGCACTCCTGTACTGGAAGCGGTGTGCAATAGCTGCGAAGATATACATAGCTCCAAATAGCTCTGCCATCCAGTATACCAAAAATAGGTTTGTCTCAAGAGTTTAAATCTACTTTAAGGCCTTACCTCACACTGGTTGAGATCATTCTGTAAGCTCTTCCTCCACTTGTCTCTCTTATGACATGCTTGGTCCCAGCGGGAGTTCACCTCATGCAGTCTACTCAGAAGACTTCCGCTCTCCGCATCATCTGCCTGCTGGAACTCCTTACTGCTCAGGTTGGCAGATAGAACCAGAGCTTTATAATTATCAAAAGCCTTCAAAGTGTCCTGAAAGAACAGCCGAAACAAAGCATTGAACACCTTGAAGCCAACGTTTACTATTGTCCATCTATTCTACCTGTAATTTGCTTAAACTTGATATGATTAAAGCTGAATTCTAGGCAAATATAAAATATACAAATTAATGAATCATTAAAAGTACAGCTGAAATAATAATGCCTACGCTATATGGCCAAATGGATTGAGTTCGGGTGTTTTCAATCAAGGGTACCGTTAATGCTACAGCATGCAAAACATTTTAGACAATTTTGTGTCTTCAACCTTGTGGCTACACTTTACGGAAGGTCCTTTTCTATTCCACAGGATTGTGCCCCTGTGCACAAAAATGGCTCCATGGAGGTGGAGGATCTCAAGTGGCCTGCCCTCAATGCTAACACCTTTAGGGCCCGAGTCGAAAGGCTTTGAGCTGGCGTTGATGGCATCACTTTGAGATGATTCAGAATTCATTGACTGGTGCATTTGACCTCCTTATGACCTGTAGTTGGCCTGCTTCAAGTAGGATTTGCATTCTCATAGACTTGTGTAGGAATGGAAAACGCACTTGATGCAAACAAAAACTGGTTGACACAGGCCCTTAGAATGAACTGACACATCCATTGTTATGATAAACCTAACCTCACAAAACTGCACAAATCCCTTCAGACCAACTACAAAATCTTATGGGGCCTTGCCAGAAGAGTGGAGGCTGGTATAGCTGCAAAGGGAAGCCAACTCCATATTAATGCCCAAGGTTTTGGAATGGCATGTCCAACAAGTTCATATAGGTGTGATGGTCAGCTGTCCACTAACTTTGGCCATATAGTTTAGCTGTGTGATCGTGCAGACATAATTTGGAGTAAGAGACCAGAAAGAGGTTAACCACACACTGACCAGGCTATTCATTATGAATGAACCACTGACCGGCCACATGTTTGTCTGTTTTGCCTATAATGGTGCTTCAAACTATCCGTACATTTTGGGCTTTTACGTCGATAACTGACAAGCTCAATGCAGATGGTGAATTTATCGTGAGGTTTTCATAATGTAAATCTAGAATGATCTAGGATGATTGTCTTCCAAAAAGTACAATATTGTTAGATTGAATGTCCCGTGGGTGTTTTCCATCATCTAATTTATACTAGTTTTAATGAGTTACAAAGTTGCTGTGCCACCATCTGCATATATTTATGCCTCCCAGAACTAGGCTGATAGTATAACATTTTATATTTGCAATCGGCTATTAAATTAGCTCAGTTATACTGCTCAGCTTAAAGTCAGTTTTCATACCTTAAATCTCTTCACTTTCTGCTCCAGCTCTTGAAGGGAAGTAGATGGCTTTAGATTTTCAGCATTGTCAAGCTCAGCTTCAGTCTTCCCAAGCCACAATGAGATATTATCTAAATCAGAGTTCAATTGCTGCCACTGCTGTAAATTCTGCTTTGACCTTAGCTCATTGCTTAAGCTCTGAGCCTGAATAATCTCCCAGCGTTCAATAACACCTGCATAAACCAAAAAAATGTATTGTAAAACAAGTAGCTCCAACTTAGAGATCAAGATGCCCTGCTGTCAATGCAGGAAAAACAAAAGCAAGTTATTTACAATCTAACCGTAGCCCGAAAGACTAAGATTTAAATACCATATGGTCTCCTGGCAGTGTAACATACATTCATGTTTGGTATGGGAATGAATGGCCCACTAAACAATTTACAAGCAGGTTGTGACAAATAAGCTTTTTATGCAAATAATTTTAGGTTTCTGGAATTAGAGAGCTGAATATATTTAAAGGAAAAACCTTTTTTTGGAAGTAAACATTCTTATTTATTGTAATGTTTACCTAAAAGTAATTTTCAGGTAAACTTGAGGCCAAGTACACTATAAAAAAGGACAAAATCATGGAGGACAACCCTCCAAATTGTTAAATACAATTGAAAAAAGCCACTCCATAATCACACGGTTTAAAGAGTTTTGTTTGGGGGAACTTAAGTGCCCTGCACAGAGCCCTGACCCTAACGCTTTTGGGATGAATTGGAATGCAGCCTGGTCTTCTCATCCAACATTAGTACCTGACCTCACAAATGCTCTTTTGCTGAATGGGCACAGATTCCCACAGACACTCTAAAAAAATCTTGTGGAAAGCCTTTGCAGGGGAGTGATACCTGGGGATTTGGAATGGGATGTCCAACAAGCTCATAGGTGTCCACAAGCCTTGGTCCATAAAAAGTGTCCTCGTCTCTGCAGGTTACTTTTACATCCATTACATTTATTAATAGGGCTTCCACACAAAACATCTTTTGTTTTTAGTTTCATGGTCCTTTAAGGCTTGCAAAGATCTTTAATACAGAATATGTGGCCTGGTTTTTTGTATATTATGGAACGGAATGTAACTGTTGCTTCTGGCAACCAATTCCTTGTTTAGTCTCCTTGTGCTGTACAGGAGAATAACGGGAACTTCACTTCATTCAAACGTTGCCTGTGCTCTAAAGCTGAACCCCAGGCAGTTATAAAAGATACAAAATCATGCAGCTCTGTATTCATTAATATAGCATTCTGGTAAATGGCTGCAGTCTATCAGCATCCACTTAAGATTTATGAATGGGCAGGGACTGTATTTTATGTAATCATTTTTATTTAGGATTTGTTAGTATACTGCTGATGCTTTTTTGTAGAGTCTATTTATGTCTTGTCTACTTTTGTGTCAAAAAAGCTTGTAATTCAGGTACTTACACTGCTTGCATTATAAAAAAATCAAGTTCAAAGTTCTTATTTCAGAATTAAAAGAGAGCTCAGCATTGGAAAGGAAAAAGCAGCACAAGGAGCCAATGTGTGCTGCAATACTCATGTGCTAGCAAGGGACATTCTACTAGGAGGAGACTATAGAATCAAGGTGAGATAAGCTCCGCAGTTAGCCACTTCCCCTTCAATGTCCATTCAGACCAGGGAGGGACTAGACCTGTATGTGTTAACTGCAGCAGATAAAAATCCAGTCTCCTGCCCTGCCAGACAGTGCTGTGGTGTTTGGTAGGACTGTATAACATCTGTGAACTGGATGGACAGAAACACAAATCCTTTGGCAGATAAAATAGGTCCCATATATGCATTTATCTGTGTATTTAGCAGTTTGCTTGCAGTTCAGCTTCAAGGATTGTAGATGTGTGCCAATTAACTTGCTAAATTATGGTTTTAGATTTTGAATTTACTATTTTTCTGTTCTGTATTTTAGCACATTAAGCAAATCTGTCAGGTCATTGTGTTACAGGTTTACTAGCCGACGACTCAGTAAGGTATAAAAATAGACTCCTATAAGTGGATAATGAAGTGATCAGCATCTCAAGATGTGTAAGTGGATACAATAGCTAAAAACAGACTAGGGGGAAAAAACAAACCCATGTTAATGATGGTCAATATTAGCTTAAATGGTTAGCGGCTTATTCAATTATCCACACAGGTGTTGCCTTTTAGCACCCTTTTACACATTAGGCATAGAGCAAAGTTATAAATAGCTCTATTGGTTCAGAAAGACCTGGCTAGAGCCTGTGTGCATCAACCTTGACCAACTGTAGCCAGTCCACCTAAAGTGAATCTGTGAAAAAAATAAATAAATGGGGGTTCCAATTGACAAGCTTTTACTCTAATAATGCTCGGTACCAGGCTGTCACGTTGAATAGGTATACAGATGAGAAGGTCTGGCTTCACTGGTTGCTTACTTGTTTAAGGTCACTGACTCAGAACATAGAGGCCAGAAACAGAGCAACTAGCATGCTTACAAGGAGGTCAGCAATGGCGGCCTCCATATCTTAGTACAGGTTTCCTTTACTGATTATAAGGAGGTTGCTCAGCCTGGTCGGCGTTACTTGTCTTTAACTGGAAAACTCACTGTGGGTGTGTTCAGATAATGCCTGGGCTTGAGAAAATACAGAGAGGGGGAATTTATCAAAACTGGAGCAGACAAAATCTGGAGCAGTTGCCCAGGGAAACCAATCAGCTTCTCTCTTCAGTTTGTTCAGGTAAGCTTTGAAAATGAAACAGATAAGCTGATTGGGTGCCATACAAAGCTGCTCTAGATTTTGTCTGCTCCAGTTTTTATACATTTCCCTCAGAATCTCTTTAAAATGGAATTCATCCCATCAATGCACGGCGTTCGCAAAAAAAAGTGAATCCTGCAGTTTGGTTATGTTGTCCTACATGGTCAGTTGTATGGGTTCTTCCACAGCACAGCATACTGTAAGTGAAATCAGTGCATGCATTATGAGCTAAATGACCAATGTGTTTGCTTGAACAGCTCAGTCAATGTGCTGGAAGTGTGCTAGTGAACAAGTTCTCAGCACAGAACAGTGGGCTGGCTGATGCATATATGCATACAGCAGCATTAAGACCTACTCACCATGCTAATGCATATTGCTATACGATGGCCTGAAAAAAACAACAATATGAACTCCATCTTTGCAATACATGCACATTTTCCCCATGTATCTGTGCAAAAAATACCTGCCAGACAACTCAACCACCTCTGTGCAAAAATCTCAACTAGTGTTGTCAGCAGTCCTTGCTGGACAACAGAACTCAGCCTATTCCTGCCCTTCTCTGTCCCATTCCGTAGGCATACATCAATTTCATTTCAAGCAAAACAATGCTGTTGTCTTGATTCCCGAGAGCACTGTGGTTTGGGGTGTGCCTACATGAATAGGAAATAGGTTTCTAGCAGATGGCCTTGCAAAAATCTGACAAGCCTGGTGATAATGTCAAACATAGTAATAAAGGTACTTCAATACAGGAGCAAGTTGAAAGAAAAGAAATTAAAATCCTGGGGCATAAATTAGAAGGGGAGAGGGAGATGTGGTAGTAAATTTGGGTCATGCATAGAGATCACCTTTAAGCATTTTAATATCCTTCTCATGGTATTACAAACTCTCTGCTGACTGGAATGAGGAGAAAAACAAGAAATAAATGGCAGTGGATTAAAAAGTGCTAGAGCACAGGAGATCACATGACCCTAATTGTATCTCTACGCAAACTTAACCTCAACTTAGATATTTGCATATTACAGGTCAAAGGCAAGAAAATATTTTACCGATTGAGTGAATCTATGAAAGAAAAGTATTATTTTTGCATTAGAAAATTTAGACAATATGTTCTATCCCCTTTACCTGATTGCGTCTCTGGGCTGTAAATTCCTCTAAGTCCGTTGTCATCAAGCTGTTCATTAGTGATACCTGATGTTCTCACATCTGTCTCTCTGGAGGGAGTAGAAGTGGAGGTCTGCTCATTCTATAAATACAGAAGCACACTCATTAACATTTACCTGCTGTAGCATTGCACTCCCCCCACCATTATCTGTAGCCAACAATACAAAACTTACAGTGGACATGTCTAACAAGGCTTTGGTTGTAGCAAGCATCAGATCCTGTGCAGCCTCATTTTGTTTGTACTCTGGCTTCAAAGCTGCCATATGCTTGGCTGGAGAATGCCATGATGGAGTCTCCAAGTCAGATTTCCCTGTAATAACAGAATATAGTTAGCAGGAATACAGAGTACTGTGGAAAGTGGTGCCACTGAGCACTGCCAACCAGCCTTCATACGGGCACCACCATCCCATAAACTTACCAGCAGCAGCATGTAAAGGGGAAAAAGCATGGATGCAGGATATGAAGTACCGGAATCAAGGTTATATGGCATTTTGAAAAGACAAAGCTGATGTAAAAGGTTAGATCAGTAGTACTTATAATGAATAACTTGGCAAAAATGTTTCCAATTGCCCATGCAAACCAAATTAAATAAAATTCTAACTGCACCTTTCTTATGAGTCAGATACTGTAAAGCAGGACCGGGAAGCAGCAAACTTTGCCATAAGAATTATAAATTTTATTTTCTGTCTGTAGAGGACTTTGAAGATTTTATCATCCCAATGGAGAAGGGTCAAACTTATTACCTTGGGGTTTTCTGTAAAGCTATATACTTTTTAAAGTGTGGAATGTTCATAAGCAGAACAGATATTCACAGGTCTAGTTTCCCCTTGGCAATGAGCAAACATTTGATAATTTCCTGTTTGGTTCAATTAAAGCCCAACTCCAACCAAAATGTTGTATTTTGTTGTGCATAAAGCAAGAAGGGGTTGGTTAGTGTTGTCTGTGTCTCCATGGGAGATTTCCCTTCTCTTCCGGTCCTGAGATCTTTCCAATTGGGACACAGACAAAAAAACAAACAAACACATTTTTAGAGTAGTAGGGACGGGTTAGAACTTCTGTCAATGTTTTTTTACTGCCCACGTCTTCAACCCCCAGAGGTATCACAATGGCAGTAAGGAAAGCCTTCTTAATGGGGTCAGAAACCTAATATAAACTTGAAAAATGTATTATCCAAAATAAAAGAAGAAACTAGCTGGAGGTGAGCTTTAAGACTTCAAGTGCCCGTACAAACAAAAAGCATTTCAAAATGGCAATATAAATGATTAATAAACATTGTTTCTCCATCCTGCCTTAATTATCAATTGTGCAGCTGTGCAAAAAGGTTGTTACGGCTTAAATTCAAACGAGTGCGGTAAATAGTCAAATGTAGAAAAGCTAAATCAACAAAGACAAAAATACACAAAGTGTTGAGCATTGTGTATGTTGATTGGTGTGTGATCTCTTAGCAAGCAGAGGCACAAAGGGGAAAATAATAAATAAAATGATGCCATGTCAGAATAATGCACATATCCCAAGAACATGGCCACACATCCCAAAGGCAGTTGTGTGCATTTTGGTGATGGGCCATGATGGACATCCTGGGATGTGGTTTGAGACATATGATGCTCACACAAGAAGCAGTAGAGGTAACGGTGGTATGAGGAAGGAGTGAGCGTGCATCACAGCAATGGTGCCAGAGTGAGACACATGCATTTGGCTGGGGCCTACCAGAAGACGCTTGGACAGTTTTTGTTGTCATTATGACATAGGCCTCGGGACTCTCAGCAATTTCTACATCTGGAAGAAAGTAAGGTCAAGTTTTTCCCCTCAGTGGAAAGAATGTAAACAAAATTGGTAACTGTAAAAATGTTTTCAAAATGATAAAGGCAATAATACAATATAGGTTTAAAGAGACTGTCACTGTCTACCGCCAACCTTCTCACCTTCCATGTGCTCTCCCTTTGCAAGTGGCATGCCAGAGGATGTTTGAGCTTACAGGGTTGATTATGTCCTCCTCATAAGGTAAGTGTTTGGGCTTGACAATGGCCTGCTCAGACACAAACACTGTATCCTTGGGAGGTCACATGCTCACGCTAGGTATTTGCAATGGAGCATTGAGGCAAAAGGAATACGAGTCAGTGTGGGCTAGAATGAGACCATCACTGCATCCTAAACTGGCAAACTGACAGATTTTCTTTCGTGAAAAATTTATGATAATATGATAAAACCAAATAAACGCCAACAATGTTAATGTTTACCTGACAAAGGATTGTAGTAGCCGCTCTCCTCTTCATTCTCGTGCATGGAAGATCCACCCACGTCAACAGTTGGATCCCACTCAAGAGGAATGGAGTCTACACTGACTGGAGTTTCGCGACCAGATCTCTCATGTGGGGGCATCAAGTGGCAGTTGTCCACTTCAGGAATCGTAGCATGCCAGGAAGAATTCTGGATTTCCCTTGAATCTTCTCCATCTGTATCATTTCCTGAGGCCTCTCTTTCTTCCTCTAAATTCTTTACAAGAGTAATAGAGAAAATTTGTCATTTTAGAGAATTAGAGATATTTTATTTATTTTGTGGCCATGTTGCAAGATGAAAACCTGTAAACTAGCAGGCCCCTGTAAAAGAGGGTTTATACTTTTGCCTATCTGGCTTATGGTGGTGTGTTAAACCTTTGCTCTATTTCAAGAGCTCTGGGTGCTGCAGCTATCTGACACTTCATGTTGTATTGGATAGCATGTCCCCCACTGGGTTCTTTCCACCAATCCCCAAGTCACTACTATTTACTGTATTAAATAGGGATCAGCAGGACCATAGTGCAATACTATTTGTTGGATAGGCATCTTCTGCATGGCATCCTCCTCCTGTCCCCCTCTCCCACCAGTTTTTTTTTAGGCATTTTAGCGCAAAGAAGTAGGCCTGGCCTACACGAGGTAAAGCATATCTTTATTTTTTTCCCCCATTTATGGACTTCCATGTGCGATTTTAAGTATGCATGCATGTTTAAAGGACACCACTACATGGTTAGGTTGTGGGAGAGTTAGTCCCCTTTCACATGTGCACAAGCTGTGTTAGAAAAAGTTCTGTTTGCTCTATCTTCAGACTTCAATGTTACTACATGTAAAACAAATTTAAAATGTGCCTAAAAGGTGCAACATGGATATAATCCACACCACCTACACATACAGAGGTGAATAGAACCTTATGTGAAAATGGCACCGGTGTACGGACAACTAGTGTGTCACCAGTTTGTTACAACTAAAGCTGGCCATACACCTATAGATTATCTGCAGAGTTTCTATGGTCAGATGGAAAAAGTGCAACAGATTCCTCCATCTGCGCTAAACTGTGTGGATGGAGGAATCTCCCGCTGGGCCAAGCTTCAGTATCTTGCTAGTCGGCCCCACTGGCTCTCAAAATACTTGAAAAATGCCTGCATCCAATCAGAATGTTCAGGTGTTTTGAGAGCCAGCAGGGCCGACTAGCAAGATCCTGAAGCTTGGCACAGTGGGAGATTCCTCCATCCACACAGTTTAGCGTAGATGGAGGAATCTGTTGCACTTTTTCCAGCTGACCATAGAAAATCTGCAGAGAATCTATAGGTGTATAGCCAGCTTAACTCTCATCTGACTTAAGGTGCCCACACACCTTACGATAATCGCGGGAAATCCCGCGAACGTAGGATTATCGTAAGGTGTGTGGAAGCCGTGCAACCTCTCCTACTGTAAGGTCGCTCGACTTTCATCTTACAAACATGTTCGAAAACCTGCCGAGAATCGTACGATTTTCGGCGGGTGTGTAGCATGTTCGTAAGATAAAAGCCGGACGGCAAGCGCACACTGCCCATTCGGCATTGCGGTCATCGGAACTCCCCCCAAGCGGGGAGGGCTTGCGATCATCGCAAGTACGATCTGCCTGTCCAAGATAGGCAGATCGTACGTTTTTTTAATGACCTTACAACCATCGCAAGACAAAAGTCTTGCAATGGTTGTAAGGTGTGTGCCCAGCCTAACTCTGCCTGCATGTCTGTAGCAACAGGATGACAGCAAACCTTAAACAGAAATCTAAAAGCACATACTAAAACCTTCATCGCTGAAAGAGAATCCCCCAGTTTTCTACAAACTGACAGCTCCACCTTGCTAACAGATATAATGAAAACTTTCTTCAAATCCAGACTGCATCTGTGGGCTGAAAAATCAGCCTTCTTGTCTGACAACATTAAGTTCTCCCATACAAACATTACTTACCAAACCCTTTGATGTCAGTCTCTCATGGAATCTGTAGACTCGTCCAAATACCTCTTGGCAATATCTGTGGATCTCTTCCAGCTCGTCCTCAATAACCACAGCATCCATGGCCTCGCTTTTCTGGATCAGCTGCTCTCCAAAAACTATCAACTGGTCGATCTTGTTGGTGTTCAGAGTAATTTCTTGTTTGAAACCCTGCAAGGCACACAATGTATTTTTATGTGTCTAGAATTGCTTCAGCCATAACTGGAACCACACAAATCATTCCTTAAGAGTTTAAAACTGCACAGAGATCAATGATTTGTATGCTAGTCTCTATCCTTGAAGAAAATATAGTGCAAAGAGTGGTGTGTATGTGTATAATATTAACCATTTTAACCTGAACCATTGCTGTGCCACTAATCCTTGACTAATTGCCTTGAATATTCAAAATTACACTTTTGCTAATGTTTTAATATGCTGTACATTTTCCATGGTTCCAGCGAGCATGAGCAAACCACAGCTTGGTCAGTTCAGACCAAATACTCTGGTACTGCAAGCTGGTAAAAAATGTTGTTCTCGGAGCCTCGCAAAATGGCTTTCACTCATTCATCTGAATGCAGAGAGCATAGAATGACCATCTGTGTGATTCCTGGATATACTTGCATGCGATTGGCTACTAAAAACAAAAGTAGAGATGATCGCCAAGCAGATGAAACAAATGGCTTTCTATGGTGTAAGCGATACAAGTAGCATTTACTTGGGATTAATCGCAAAATGCTTGTGAGCAACTGATTGCAACTAGAAACTGAAGCATGGGGTACATCATAGGAAGCCATTTGTTCCAATAGGGTAGAAATATTACAAGACTGCAGTGTTACACATAGCAATGTGACTGAGCTAAAATAAAAAAAAAATTGAAAAGTGGCTGGCTGAGGAGGGGGGTGAGGAGGGTTCGTGGGGTGTCATAAATGTTAGACCGGGGAGTAAAAAATGCCTCCTGATAATCAAAAGACAGAAAAAATAAACGTAGGATGACAAATAAACCCTAAACAGATCAGAGATATACCACATACATGAATATTGTGATGTTCTGTAGATTCATAAAAAGTTCTGGTAGTGTGTCAGAAAACCAGAATCCACATTAAGTCCCTCCTTTATGGCGTTGAAATGTAAAATCATTTTCATCTCAAATGTTTAATGTTAAATATATAATAAATAAGCGTTAAAAGCAAGCCTTTTGCCCACCAAATAATGTTACTGTGGGCAGAGCTCCTTCAACCCTTTTAGTTTGCTGGTCTGGTAAACAATGTATAGCACTCCTCATTTCGTTTAATTGATTACTGTATTGTTTTTAATACAGTGTAAATCAAAAGGCATATCAATATAAAACTCAAACCGAATATCACAAACATGCCAAGAGATGAAAAAAACACCTACGATTAATTGTTGCATCTTTTCCTCAATGTCACTTTCTGAGAAATGCTCCACATTTGTAAGCTGTATATCCATTTGCGTCAGCCATACCAGGATGCAGTCTCTGGTCCCTTCAAAGTCTTCTCTTTGGCTAGTAAAGTGCTGAAGAAAGACATAAGAAGAACTTTTGAATGAAAGTATACTACAAATAAAAAGAAAACTTTTGTTGTCACTGCACCTTTTACACCAGCACACTTCCTACCCATTAGCAAATCTGCAGTGTTCAAAAGTGTAAAATGGTTAAATTACACTTTTCTTTTTGTAGGCTTATGGGCTGTAGTGACATCAATTATATTGCTTAAGTTTGATAGTGTCCTTTTAGTAAATGAGAGTTAAAACCATAGCCTTTAGGGCTTGTTCATACTATGTCCAGACCAGTTTGTTCCCAGACCAAAAAAGCATCCCAATGTATCCCTATGGTATTTATGGGCTCTGTTCACACCAGTGCAGTCTATTCCGGACCAGACAAAAAAAGAATACTGCTGTTATCATTTTCTTTGGTCTAGAATGCACTGGAACATATACAAAACAAATGCATGCAAAACGCACTGGACTGCACCTGAAAGCCCACTTTAAGCTTAAAAAAGAAAAAAAACACAAAAACCACTCAGAACGCAGCAACATCGCAGTAAAAATGCTGCAAATGCAATGCACCGCGTTCCAGATCTGGTCCGGAAAAATAGGATTTTTGTACTCACCGTAAAATCCTTTTCTCTCCGTTCATTGTTGTAGAGTTGATAAAACACTCCCGGGTCCACCGCCCGGCGACTGAGATAGTTGGCCTGCCAATTCTCCACCCCGAATGTGTGTGAACCTGGCCCCAAAGAATATAACTTTTTTTTCCGTTTTGTATAGAGTAAGAAAATCGGTTATGCATTATTTAAACTTTTTCCTTTTCTGTCCCAGAGACACAACAGAAAATCTCTTCGAAAGCAGAAATACCTTTTTAGACAGTTGTCACTGCACGATAGCCCTTGTTCTTCTGAAAACTATATTTAAATTTCCATCAATTTCTATTAGTGACAATGGTCATCACTACAAATAGAAAGAGTGACCCTAGAGTGGATGTGTTTAAACCCCTTTTATCTAAAACTAAAGTTTGGGTTTTAGATAGATTTTTCATTTGCTCAACTCATCACTCCAGTAATTGCCACAAACCTCTCTACCATAGAGGCACCTGTAAGAGCTTAGAAATATCCGATTATGAGGTTTTTCTCAAATGTGGCAAGCATTTGTTAGTTGCCATCAGAGTAGAGTAGTTTTTATTTGGTATGACTTTCTCCAGACACTTGAGACCTCTCTATAATCACAGACTGGCTAATGTGTACCAACTTTATGGACCAGTAGTATAGAAAAGTATGCTATAGTGGTGAATGAAGAAGTATGTACACTTTGTAAATTTGTCATTATTAGAACAGACAAAAAAGAGAAGGTTTAGGACAGGCCAGTGGAAGTAGCGTAGGAGGATAAATTGGCAAATGGAGAGGAAAAATTGGAGGCTGATGGTAAACAGTTGTAAGATGTACCAAGAGTCAATGTATCATTGTTTGAGGTCATATTATGGGAAGGGTGGTGATTAAATATGTTCAGAAACCTATTGAATCTATTTTAGGATCCATAGGTGTGGAGAAGTACAGGCAGCATCATATGAGATTATATCTGGAGGAAGTAGGACTAAACTGCCTCCACGCTAAAAGCTGCAGAGCGCCATAGTAAGGAAGAGGGAAGGCAAACATGCTGGTAGCAAAGACGGTTTTGCCTGGCTGTAGTTGTGACATTCAAACCCTTGTTCCCACCATATGAAAATCAGACACATTTACAAAGGGAGATAAATAAATCAATAAAGAAACTGGTGTATTCACAAGAAAACTTATTAGGGCCAATTTAGGAAAACTGCAAATGTACTCTTTCTAATGAAAGTTGGGTATTTGTGAAAGCAGAACAAAGAAAACTAAAGCACAAATAACGAAAGCAACATACAACTTTTGCTTAAATGTAAGCAATCTGGTTTCATAAAGTGATTTATTGTTCACAGCAAACAAATTATAGTTTTAAAATGGAGGAAGAAACGTGGTTTTGGCAACATCTCCACCTCCGCTCTATCGTTCATAAAACCAAGGCAAAGTAATTTGAACTCTTGCTGCGTGTTAACTCTGGAGCTCATAAAGCAGCCTATTAGAGGACACAAGCCCCCTTGGCTTACCTTCAACCTCCTCAGAATGGAGGCCACTCTTCTCTGCAGCTGGTCCCACCTCTGGTTGCCTTCATGTACCATCTGCTTCAATCTGCTGGCTGCATCGGTGCGATTCTCCCGAGCAAGTCTCCGGTACTGCTTGTTTATTAGTTCCAGGTGAGTAAGACGCTCATGGATCTGCCGCTGAAAAGCCTGGAGTGAAAGTTTACAACTGGTAAATACATTTCATAGCAGTAACCTACAAACAGATAAAGACCATTTGCATTGAACTTGATAATTGTGCACAATTCTATTGTATGGCCTCTGCAGATACAAACCTCAAATTTCTTTTGTTCTTCTTTGGCTTTTGTGTATAATACATCAGAAGAGTCTGGGGAAGCAGCCATTGCTTCTGCTTCTTTAAGCCAGTCATCAAATTTGGAGTAGTCCTCTAGGAACTTTTGCCACAAACGCCAAGTTTCCTCAATTCTGGAAGAAAAAAATAATAATACTTATGGGCCTAGGCAGGTACCTTGAGGAACCCTTTTAAAGAGTAGAGAGGGCCTATCAGAAATCTTGGCCTAGTGGGAGATTCCTCCATCCACACAGTTTAGCATAGATGGCGGAATCTGTTGCACTTTTTACATCTGACTATAGAAAATTTGCAGAGAATCTATAGGTGTATGGCCAGCTTTAGATTCTCCCAGGAAGAGTTAGAGTTTGGTCAGGCAAAGAAAAGGCTGAACTGGCCTGCTGCATCTGCAGACCTAAGTCTTCCAATGCTGGATGGATTGACCATGACCAGAAGTTTGAGCATGGATTCTGCACAAAGAACCTATACAGCAGTGTTATCATTTGGCTTGTAAAAGAAAGCAGTGAACAACAAACAGCTTCCAAAGATAATCAGCATCAACCTTGTTTGTGATCTGTGCCGATAAACACCTAGCTTCCCAGAAGAAATATCACACAACTGTTGGATGCCAATTTTAGCCTGAACTGGTACCAAGGCATAAAATAAGTCACACTTTGCCCCTGAGGAAAACGGAAACCAACTCTTACCGGAGGCGTCTCTCCATAGACATTGTACAGATGTTTCTCCATCGTTTATCCAGACTCCTTGTGGTCTGTTGTATGGAGTCACACTCTGTTTCATTTGCACATGCATCTGTATCATGCAACAGACGCTCACAGATATTCAGTACGGAAGCCACCCCAGCGCTGTTTAGCTCAATGTCCTTTTGCAAGTCCTGAAATAGACACAAATATTGTAGCCATTAGCTCCTTTGCCTTCTGAATGTTCTCCTGCTCTGAGTAGTTGTAGGAAAGCGTACAGAAAACCTGTACAGAGTGAGATTGCCATTGCAGACCTCACTTTATTTCATGTGTATATCACAAGGGATCTTTTTCAGGTGGTGTCATTTAGTGACCATCTCAATGGCCAATCAAATATTGGGACTCTAAAGGTTTTATGCCCAGACTGGTTACAAGTGGCCCTGTTCTTGTTCTGAGTAGCCCTGGTCTTGTTGTTCTGTGTTCTATACATCAAAATTCCCCTTTCTGTTTCTAGGTAGTAAGCACTTGCCTTTTGTTCCTCCAGTTTCTTGTTTATCTCTTGGTCATCACAGATGCTGTAAATCAGGGGTGTAGATAATTCAGATTCAATGCGGCCCAGCCAAGTGCGCAGGTTACTCATTTTTTTGTCCAGTTGCTGGATGATTACAAGCGTTTCCTTCAAATTCTTCACACTGTACATGAAAGAAAATCCAAGCACTTGAAACTACAATACAATACAACCTACTTCTGCACACAGTCGCATATCGAGCATTGCAGTAAAATTGTAAGTAAACCGGAGCCAAAAGAAAACAAACAGTTACAACTGCATTACTCACCTGGTCTCCTGTGCCGTCCCCCACAGATGCACCTGCTCACTGAACCAGCACCGCTCCTTTTCTGGATTGAATGATGCCCAGCATCATTTATTCCACTTCCTGTGAGACCAGGGGGGTCAAGGTTCCACCTCCTGCTTTGGACTCACAGGGTAACGCTGCAGAGAGTGGCACCACATTGTTATCTAGCCCCAGTCTCTTCAGCATTTAGGATCTGCCCACAACTGGAGGAAGAAGAGGATGCACCTGCAAAGGTACTCCAACGGTGGGATGGGGGGGG